GCGGCGTCCCCCGTCACCCTTCATATCCCGGCTCCACTCTATGCTCCTCTGCCCCTACAACCCCGAAAAGCGGAGCTTTATCCCGCGTCGCAGTAAAGCGCCATGAAATATTGCTGTTGAGTTTCCAACCGAAATTTACGTCCGTTCCGCGCGTCCGTGAGAGGGTTGATCAGAACGTAAGTTTATATAACGTGCTTATTTCCAACAATTTTTGTACTTTGGCTTAATTCAACTTATTTAGATCAGTTTTTCACGGCGAAAGTACGTTCTAAATTATTATTAAAAATTTTATAAAAGACATTTTTAATCAAAATTTAAATTAATATAAATTTAAAAATGTTTCTCAAATTTTAATTCATATTATCAAAAAACGATGTTCAATAGCCTTCCATTTCTCACTTCACAATTATTATAAATGTAATTTCATTATATTACTTCAATGACGACGATAGAAAAAAATACAGCATTTTTAATATAAACTAATCTAAATAAATTTAATTAAACCAAAGCACAAAAATTACTATTATTATTTTTTCAAGTATTTTTTTCACATCTTTATGTTATTAATAACATGCCTAAATATATCATGTTTTATCATATGTTATTTCATCAATATTATCAATGTAAATATCCTAAAATTTTAGGATATTTATTTAATTTATTGCCTAGAACACGTCATCGAGCGACGAATCTTGTGGAAGACAATCGGAGGAAAGGCGCGGCATCCTAGTGATTATTCACAGCACAGCTTCAATGTCTTCCATTAAATCGCGCGCTCTCGGCCCGATGGTGCCGTCGATATATATGTGCTGGCCGATGAATACCGACTGTTTGCATAGGTCCGAGGTGTGCCGACATGTGTAGAGGGATACGAGGACGATGCCGACGACGGACGAGTCCGGGTTAGAACCCGAATCGTTCGGGGAGTAAAAGGGAGGCAGAACGCCACGACGGGCCCCTGTGTACACTCAGCTGCCGGTCGGTTTTTGCGCGAGATTGGGCCCCTTCATCCAGACGAAGTCCGGACGAGTCCTGACATTACGTACCCGGGTATGCCAGATGATAACGCTATGCAATAAACGCCATTCGGTTTTTCTCAAAAACATCTTTTCGACACATTAATAATAATATGGACTTGATAAAACGGATATTAAAATTCATATTGGGAGATGAAATATGAAATCTAAAAAAGAATTGTAGTATTATGTAATATTAAATAATAATTCTTGTTGATTTTATTTCCAACATATTTATAAAACTTGCTGATTTATTTTCTCTTTACTGGATGGTCTCTATTGTTATTTTTGGCAATTGAAAGATTTTGAATATAATAGACGCCGTAAGCGTAATTAAAAAAAAAAGTTTATATTACAACAATCTGTATTGTAGTTTTAAAACATCAAGCTTCTAAAGCATCAGTTTTTACTTGCAAAATTGTGCATTTTATATCGCCGACTTTTGTAAACTACGACGTAAATTGAAACATAATAAAGTGTAATGTAAAGAAAGATGCATGAAAACATTTACGTACTCATAGTTAGCATGAAGATATGTAGAGAAAATATTTCACAACTTTAATTCTTCTCAAAGTAAAAATCAGAATGTTGTATAAATTCTCTTTTTCGCAAACAAACTAAGAAAAAATTATATCAAACATTTAATATATTAATGTAGATTTTTTTTTAATTTCGAGTAATTCATCGTTATCACTTTAACTTAATCAGTTTTTAACTATTTTCTATATTTTACTGTTTCTTTTAAAATTAATTTTCATCAATGCTAATTTTTGTCATATTAAAAAAAGGAAAAGATCGAATTCTACGTAAAATTTTCTTTTTTTTTCCCTTATTCTTGGTTGCATAAAATGTTGGAACTCTCAAGGGACGCCATCAGCACATCGAGCGAATCATCAGAACGATCTATGTCGGTGGTTCTTGTTGGAAAAGGTAGCAAAAATAGACATCAAGAAGTAGAATCTAGAAAGCGAAGGCGAACATACGCTTCGTCGAGTGTAAAAATTCGCGACATTGCCTTCAAACACTATATAATTGCAGAAATTTAACCTTATCGTCATCGAATTTTACCCTTCTACGTGAATTTGCGCCGACATTTTATGCATGATATAAACTAAAATTGTTAAAGCTTTGTAATAATTTTATTATAAAATTAAATTATTAATATGGCTATAAATTTTAAATTAAACAAAATAATTTAAAGAATATTGCTGAAACAATATTAACATATGCTAGAATTTTTACGACTCTAGAACAATCTAATTTACATAATAAATTATAAATTAAATAAATTATAATATTAATGAATATACACAATTTAAAATAATTCGTTCATATTGGTAGGTTACATAGCTATAATTTACTTCATTTGATTTGTCTCGCTTAAAATTGTATGTAGCCATAACGATTATTTTTCTAAACCATCTATCAAAATTCATACACACATGCTTCGCAACGAGCATCGCAAAGAGCTATGCTTCTTCTTTAAAGTTGCCGGGTAAATTCTCGCAGCATCCAGGGAGATGCGGCGTAATGCGCAAGCAGTCATGACGGATTTATGGTAGCTGCAGGACTTTTACAGGAGAAGCAGGAAGCGTGCCCAGCGTGCATTTGGTCCTGCGAGAGGAGCTAAAATGGAAATTCTCATCGCTGGTTGGCTAGAACTGGCTCCGCCTTTCCCCGGGACGAACTACGTGTGTTATACTCTACGTGGTGTTTAAGCAGATACGTATACCTACTAGTGGCATGCTACTGCCGCTGAGAATCGCGGGACCCTATTATAGCGGGGCCTCCCCCCTTTCTCCCGTGACGTCGTCCTCTTCGCCGTTTTGGTAGCGCCCCGGAATTCAGGTTTGGTTATGGGTTTGCGTAGCGACATATAATCCGCGTCTCGTAAGTTCGTAACGCCGGGATTACACCCGGCCAAGGACCCGAAACGAATCGGCATGTACCTATTCGCGGGATTTAATTCCAGTTTCGGTTATAGCTCCACAACGAAGCCGCATCTAATGACTTTATCTGAAATCAGCGAACTGCGAAAAATCTCACTCATAGCTTCCTTTGAATCTCTAATGAATTTTTTTTTTTAAATTACATAATAATAAATAGAAATATATTCACACACACACACACACACACACACACACACACACACACACACACACACACACACACACACACACACACACACACACACACAACTAAACTAAA